CCCGTCTGCTCGCGACATAGGTGATTTGACAATCACATACTGTACACCAGGTTAATATATATATATATATATGCTGTATTGTAACCCTAAAGAGGATCTGTACACTTTTTCGTGAATTCTAAAGTAGCCGCCGCTCTGCTCCCCAGACGTAGGCAAATTACCAAATCTTGTTAAATCTCTGTATTTTCTTCTTGATTTATGTCGATTCTTGCATTTACTTTGCCCTAATCCGTCAACAGCAGTAATTAAAATTGTTGCAAAAGAATAAATAATCCTGTATGTTTTTAATCGCTGCAGTCGTACAGCAATTAAAATCTCTACAATAGATGCCCTAACTCAATGTTTATGAAACCACTAGAAGCCATTTCGTAACAGCTTATTTAAATTACTGCAAAAGCGGGTAAAAAAGCATGCAGAAGATCCAGATTTCAGTTAAGTTCCCAATTAATCAAACGGTAAATGAAAAATATATATTCAAACTGGTATTCATTATCGCATGTGATAATATCAAGCAAGATCTTGCTGCAACAAGAAATTATTTATTGAGGCTAATGCTCTTCCAATCATCTATAGTGAATTCACCAGGCCTAATGAAGAAGACCTTAATTTCAACAATCAAAACTCTGAAAAACTCCTAAGGAGAAGAACAGCAGCTGCTGCAGTTATCTGTATCTGAAAACGGTGAACAAACTTAGTAGAAGTCTTTTCTTCTGGTACTGAATTGACTTCAGAACTATGAATTCATTGTATCTGTTCATTTATCAAAATCTAATAAGGCAGCAAGAGAAATTCAAGTCCAAATTGAACTACAAAACTGCTTTTTTAAGAAAATATGTCTTCTTAAATTATCCAAATTGCTTTCAACATGCCTAACTGGAGAGAAAACTTAAACCTAACCAAGCATCTGCTCTTTTGAAGTCAAAGTTGGGCAGTCAACAGTCCATTAATATATCACAAAAGTTTATTTACGCGATGATATAAAGTTCAGAAAGTAAAAAAAGATGACATTTTGCGATCAATTTTTATATTGGAACTCATAGATCCTCCCAGATATAGCATTTGCTAATTTTGCTCTAAAGCTCGGATCTTTCGCCAACGCTGCCGCCATCTGCTCAATCATAACGTTCTGAAACCCTATAGACTTCATCTCCCCACAAGCTTTTTTCACATCAGTGAGCTCCGCCGAGATTGAGTTTATGGTTACAGAGGAAGGAATCTCTGAACTGACATGGCTCACTCTACTAAAACCTTGACTTTGCAGGGGAGCCTTATGGTTGTGCTCACCTTCGTATGTCGCGACTATGAGCGACAAATCATTAACACTTCTTTGCACCTGCAAAATCAACATTAAAATTTCATGATATTGCACCAACAATAAGTTCCATGTTACAAATTTACAAAATCATGAATATCTACATGTCAACCTCTTGCTCACCTTCTTCTTAACAGGACATGATGGAGCAAACGAACATCTAAAATAAGCTCTTGGTGAGGGGTTATCTCTTGTAACCTTCTGTCCATATTTTCTCCACTGATAACCATCCTTCACAATCTGTAAACCCAAAATCAGAATTAAAGCTAATACGAATCAATCAATCTAGCTTTTCAATTTGAACATATGCTCACCAAGCTTGTCTCAGCTGGATCTGTTCGCACGCAAATCTTTGAGATATTGGACTTGGAATCCACCCTCAATCTCTTGTGAGATTCTAAGTCACTTTTCGAGCTCTCCACATTCGGCTCAACTCCATTGTTTGCATCTTCATAGCTCTCCGATTCGAGGCTGTCGCTCTTCCTCTTTATCATGGCAGAGCAGGTTTCGGCCACCTTTTCGGAGGACGACGAGTTGAGGAAATCAAAAATCTTATTTTGGAGGACGTTGTAGTTCATGCTCATGTCACATAGCATCTCATTCAACTTCCTATTATCTTCTCTTATTCTGCTAAGTTTCTCTTTAATGAACATAGACTGTTGAATAATACAGTAAAAATGAGATCTTTAGACTTAATCATGCTTAAGAATGGCGTCAGAGGAAGAATTAAAAGCTTACGTCTTCGGGAGCCGGAGTCCGATTAGGCGACAAGCCTGCATCAGTGAGGCCTGCTGGGCTGACGCTGAGCTCGAGGTTCAGAGTGGTGGAAGCTGCAGGTTCCATGGCGATGTTAATCTATACTGTTGAAGAGGAGGAAGAAGAAGACAAAGCGAGAAACTTTGCCTGTAATAAGAAGAAAAGATGGTTGCTATTTCTTGCTATATATATACATGGAGATTATGAGTTGATGAAACTTAATTTTATATAGAAAAATGGATCCAAACTACATAAGAGGGGAATCAATTGGATTAGTGAGGGAGGGGGAAAGTTTCCATTTGCATGTCGGCCATGGGATGATTTCTTTTTTGTCAATGTTAGGCGTCAAAGTCAAGCTCTTATAGGAGAAGGCAGAAGAGCAAGTTGATGGGACTAGGAAAGGGAAGTCTTCTTGACTTATCCGCCCTTCTAATGTTATAAGTTTTTAATATTTCATACATAAAATTTCTTGTTGTTGTTTCAATATTCTCGGCTTATTTTTTCTTTTGCCTTCTTGCACAACTTGGGGCACAATAATATTCCAATTACATAAATAAATCCGAGATTTTAAGTAAATTTTTAATGTTATATATTAAATAAAAAAATTTTATCATATAGATTTTAATGTATAATTTTAATTTAAAATTAACTATGTTTTAAGAATAATTATAATTATATATTTTCTTCTTGATATTACTCTACTTATAATATTTTAAATATATGTAAAACTGTACTAGTTAATCAAGTCCTAAATTTTTAATGTTTTTATAAATGATAATGAATTAAAAAATTATATTTGCTGCTAAGGTTACAAAATTCTCATCATTCATGCATCTGCGTCCAAATTTCTAAAAGGATCATTTTTCTCTCCTTATGCACCATAATACTTAAAATCCTCCCAAGTAGAGGAGAAAATATTATGTCTACACAGTATTGTGGTCAAATTCTTGACATCGTATTCATATACGGGTGTCCGGACATAATATTTTCTCCGAGTTGAGGTTCTCTTGTGATTCAAGACCCCAAAGAATAGAGATTAAGAAAGAAAGAGAGAAAGTAATCGTGTCAATAGTGTTGAACTTTCCCGTTCTTCTAGGCTAATTTGGCTCTCTTGTTTATAAAATGATTTTCTTATCTATAGGGTAGAGGGTAAAATATAGTGAAAATATATTTTTCTCTGCTTTAATGGGGGTTCTATAGCGTATTCTTGAAATTTCAGAGTATAAAAATATTGTTCGACTGCTCTATGGCTCGGTCGGCTGTGCTTATTTGGATTCGGCTTTGCAGGGTCTATTCGATCAGCTAGGCTTAGTCGGCATTGCCATTCAGCTAAGTTTGATCGGCTTGGGGTCCACAAGATTGGTTTTGTCGGCGGTGTTAGTTTAGGTTGTCGACTCTTCGTAATAAACTGGGGAGTTTTTGGACGTCCCAATATGATTGGAGGTGTTGTGAGGCTAATTTTTCCTAGAGTCTGTTTTTTCGTACCAGGTGGCTTGAATATCTCTATCTCATTTCTGATAGAATGGCTGGAACTCAGATCATTCACTCATCTTTCGTGACTCATTCAACTTTGACTTTCATGGCATTGGCTCGGGCCAATGCACTTGTTCAGATAAATAGGGCTCATGGTTTTCTGTCTGTGGGATCTGCTTCGTCATATTCTTCTCCCCATGATTGTTATATCTCCTTTGAATCAGCACTGGCACATTTTTGACGTACAAAATTATTTAAGCCAATTTTAGAGAAATAGGAGAGTATATGTTAATTATTGCAAACAAATAACTTCTCGGGCTTGTGCTAGTCAAATTAAAACTTAACATGATGCAGAAGCTTGAGAATAAGATTTAGTCATTCCGACATTCAAAAATTTTGCATCTATAAGATTTACTTGCTAAAATGGTATTTTAAAATCACTTTATTTGCTTACATACATTTTGATATAATTGGATAAGGATAAGGGTGTAAACGAGCCAAACAAGAGCGAGCTCAGGCTCAGCTAGTGTTTGGCTCGTTTATATTTCGAGCTCAAAAAATGTAACGAGCCGAACACGAGCCGTTCACGAACAAAAAGTCATTTTGACAATCCTAATCACGTAGCCATAAGATGTTAAGGATTGGGCAAGATTTAAAACATCATTTGAATCTGATTTAATAATTTAATACTTTTAATTTTATAAATCTTTGTAGCCTTGTAGTCAATTAACTTTTTTAAAAATTCTAATCATAAAAAATATATATATAATTGAATAGTAGTATTTCGAGCCAAAACGAGCCGAACACGAACGAAAAAATATTTGTTCGTGTTGTTCCTGTTCGGCTCGTTAACTTTGCGAACGAGCCGAACAAGCGCTAACGAGATAAACACGAGTTGTTCGCAAACAACGAGCCGTTTTGATAGTCCTAGGTAAGGAGTTTATGAGTCTCTATTGGATGGTCAAAAATACTTTGTGGAATTGGCTACACTTAGATCACTCGGTCTTCTTCTTGTTTGTCTTTTGGCTAGGTCAATTTTGGTCTATTTATAAATAACACATAATTTTTATCTATTTATAAATATACCATTTAAACATTCATATTTATATTTTCTACATTCTCCTGTCATAAATATTTGCTTGAAAAAAATGTATTTTTAATTTTAAAAATTAAATAATAATGATATTTTAAAAGTATGTTAATGATTCGAGTATATTGCATGTAAATAGAAATACCAAATGCCTCTTTTTAGATATATATGCACCACCACACGTGTCAGTCCAATCCTCTAGATTAATTTTGGAATCGGGTCAGTTGAGATTTCGGTCGATCGATACCCAATTGGGTGATAGTATGCATATTGTGTAAACTTTTCAAGCAGAACCCAACAAAAAATTATCGTTCAGGTTTGTAATTGTAAAAGAAGAAGGGTGGAAATTGAAAAAACGACACAACGTGAATTTCGATAATAGCGAGACAGACGAAAAAACTGACTATTTGCGGCCGTAATTTACTTTTGAATAATTGACAAAGAAATTCAAAGTCATCGGAGAAGTTCTTAAAAGTGAAATGCATGCATGTGAATATGAAGGTTTAGGTGTGTGGATATGTAAATAAATAATTCGTATGAATAATATGATGGCAACTTTTAAGATAAATTTTTCATTAATTTTCTAATATAAGAGCAGTCAAGTTAATGGATAGGAAGTTTAGAGACTGTGTAGCCAGTGAAATGATGTAGCCAATTAATCACTCTAGGTTGAACCCATTTACTAAGAAAGATGTGACATTTAGATTTGCCGATTTGCATTCCAGAGGCTTCCTCAAAGTCTGATAACACTGTCAATATTCTCTTATAAGAGTTTTTTTGAAGCATTTGCAAAGAATCATATCATCAGGCTAGGTGTTAGCTCTGTGGCGATAAGATGTATAAGGATAGAGAATAGGGAGCTGATTTAACAATCGAGATAAGTAATTAGTTTAAATAATAAAAATAGTGGGGGGAAAATGATCTCCCTGTTTAATTCCACGAGAAGAAGAGAAGTTCCCAAATATGTTGCCATTCACAAGGAAAGAATAGATATTATAACTCAATCATCTCTGGATAAAATTAATAGTAAAATCTGAAAGGCCTCTTCTTTACTATATTTTAATTATGAAGTCCCGTTTAATGGTGTCATACGACTTCATCAAGTATAATTTAATAATAAGGTTCCCACCTCTGCATTTCCTCTGCAAATTATGCACTAATTCTTAAGCCAAAAAGATGTTGTCTATGATTAATCTACCTTGACTAAAAGTTGATTTGTTTGTTGTAATAATATCCTTTAATATAGGTTGCATCCGGACTAAAAGTATTTTATTGATTATTTTAGAGATGACAAGGGTTAAAACAATGGGTCTAAAATGATCCCAAGAAGATTTCAGGTTATTTTTTGGAATAAGTGTGATTGTGGAAGAGAAGAAGAATTTCCCAAGATTTAAACCTTAAGAAAAACTTTGAATTGCATTGCAAATATCCATATTAATGACATGCTAGCAAATTTTGTAGAATTGGGTTGTAAAACCATCAGGACCAACCACATTATGATCATGAATATTCAAAAAAGCTAAATGGATTTTCTCCTTAGTAGATCTCATGTCAAGTTGTAAGGATTTAAACAAACATGAATTATCATCAAAGACCTTCCTCTTTATTTCAAAGTTATCACTGACCCTAGCGGAAAATTTCTTAAGAAAAGAAAGAGCACTCTCACCAATGTCTACTTGATTGTAGAGCCAAGTTCTCTCCCCTTTTTTAATTTTGAGGATGGTGCTCTGATATAACAAAAATATATGCATTTTTAGACCCATATTTTGTACTCATTTTTTGTGATATTGCACTTTAATAGAATATATTTTTTATGTTTTCTTGCAGGTTGTTGATTTTTAGGACTTGGACTTGCAGGTTGTTGATTTTCAGGTTGTTGATTTTTAGGACTTGGAGCAAAAATGATAAAATATGGAGTCAAAATGGAGAATATGAAAATTTGTTCAGCATCGACGGCGCTGTTTGACAGAGAGCAGCGAATTAAAAAGAAGACCACTGGCACCAACAGCGCTAGTGTCGGTGCGGACCCTGTTTCGAGAAGATTCAACGAATTTGGACACTTTTTGAGGAGTTTTTGAATGCACCTATTGGAGAATTGACTCTGGGCTTTATTTAGGGCCAAAATTGATCATAAATGTGACTCTTCCTGACTTCTCATCGCCCAAAATTCAACCTCTTACGCACCACACACTTTTCCATTTCATTCCACAACCATTTAGAATCCATTATTCTTATAATTTAGAGTTTTTGTGGTGAGATTATGTGTGAATTCTACTCTAAGAGCTATTGGAGAAGGAAAAAAAATGAGAGATTTCTTCTTCCTACATTTTTCTAGGAGAGGCTACAAGGGATTTCTTTGAGAAAGAGTTTCAGATAAGTGTTGTTTGTTTAATAGTATTGTATGAACTTTCTTTTATATATGAAATTTATGTTTTATTGTATCTTTCTCATGAAGTCTGAGTAGTTTCGTTTATCTTTCTCCCTACTCTGAAATATGGTGAAATGAAAAGATAATATGGATGTGACAATGTTAAAATATAAAATAAATTGTGATGATTTTTCAACTCCAAACTTACTTTACTTTTCGATCTGGTCAATTGAATTGTTAAAATTTGTTGTGAAACATATGATCCGGGAA